ATTTTTTTCTGAGAATTAATTTGAAACTTTTTCACAAAAACTTCTACTTAATAATTTGAAAAGTTAAAAAATAAAATCTTTTGGTCTTTAATGAAATCAAAAAATATTGTTTAATGAACTCTTCAAATAAAAATTAAGAGCTAAAATTTATCATAATGAAATAAACTTAATCATGTCTTAACTACTCACGGTCATTTTTTTGCTTACATGTATCAAATTTCAAGTTAAAAATCTTTTCAGCAAAAAAGCATTGCTCCTATCATTATCATCATCTTCTCTATTTTATATTTCATCTTGTTTTCATCATCTTTTATCAACACATAAAATTTTGAGTGTAGATTCTTCACCATTTTGTTTTAGATTTTCACCTATTCATCATTTTATTGCTTCAATAAGAAGATTTATTTGATTAAATTTTTAAAAATTGCAGAAATTTTTTCAATGATTTAAAATTTTCACCTTCTCATTATTTGTTGCTTCAGTAAGAATATTTAATTCATTTAAGTATTATGATTTCTATACCAAAAAATTTTCAAATTTTTTTAAGGACCGTGATTCATATATTTTTCAAACTTCTTCTAGTACTCATTGAATGCATTTAAAACCAATTGTTTCCAAAAAATTTTAACAATCAATAAATAAACTAGTCCAATTTGAAGGAGTTATTTAAAAAAATTTCACAAACACTTTTAGTAAATAAATTGAATGGAAATTTCTTTGTCTTTGATGACATAAAAAAATATATTCTAATGAATTTTTCAATAAAAAACTTAGGTGCTAAATTTTATCTGAATGATTGAAACTTAATCAATAGTCAATCGTTTGATTACATGTATTATGAATGCATCCATACAACTATGAGTATTTTAGTTCAAGTTTACTATTTGGAGTGCTAAGTATCCAAGAATGATTGTGGAAGATAATTATACTCTTGAAAATCACGAAAGTCAAAAATAGATAACAAAAATCCCAAAAGAATTCCCAGATTTATCAAGACTGCAAGATTTATGTTGAGTTCACACGATGTAGTTTTATCAGGCTTCGGTCATTGATTCAACATGTTGATTGATGAAATGAACCAAATTATCTATGCAACCATCTAACTGTGATTTGTTGTGCCAGATTATCACTCTTTGTTTATTTAATTGTTCTTTCTTGGTCTTGGAGAGTGAAATGAAGCAGAGATGAGACTCAGATACTATAAAGTAAGATTGTATACTCCCTAAGGTGCATTGCTTGTACAAACAGTGTTGGAAACAAAGCCGAAACCATGTTATTTCCTAATTTATTCATATATCAAAGATGATAATAGAATCAAGTAGGACCGATAGGACAAAGTGTCAAAATATTTGATCAAAGATGAAAAAAAATAAGATGTTGAATCTTGATAAGCAGGAAAAGAAAAACATTCCAAAAGGTCTCCCGTCCAACTCCATGCAAATCTGCTTGTTTGTTTTCAACTCTTCATTATATTTGAGCCACAAGAGGTATTTGCTCTCAATATCCTCCACAATAAAACTTCATTCCATATCTACAATTTTTTTATTATATAGTATACTTATACGTTCAGCATCACACATGAAATCTTTCATTCAATTCCATTCAATCCCATAACTTGGTTGGTATGCAATACAATATCGCATATTTCAACAACTCATTCATGATAGTCCTTGAATGTTCGACCAATCTTTCCTGCTATTCTTTTGCCTACTCTGTACACCAAGAACATTCACAATTCCCACCGCTACTAACAAAAACATTTCACTTGAACAAAATAACAAACCCTAGCTGCGCCACAACTTGAGCTCATTTTCATCCACATGAGCTTGAACATATGCTCGCCCTTGGTCTCCCAACTGGAAGCTAATCCAATCACGCTGCCACTACTTGGACAACTGTTATATATTTTAAATATCCAAAATTAAAGAAATGATTAATTATAAATCAACTTGTGCTAATTATCCTCACTCTGCTATACAGAACAGAGTTATGTGATGTTGTCTTCGCGAAAATAAGGAAAGGGGAGAAGTAGCTCATAGCATGGGAGTATTAGGCTAGGGTGAGATAATTAGGCCTAGGCCACTCCCACACACAAAACAAGGTGGACACATTACTAAGTCAAATTTATGTGTGGTCAAAGCCTCCTGAGTTCCAAGTACCTCAAGCTCACCTTCCAAAGCAGGAGAGAAATCTCTGTTGGGCTCCGTGGTTATGTTTATTTGTCAAGTTTTTCAGGGGACGTGATGACAAACCTGAACCTGACCCTCGGTCTGGGAGGCCGCGGTTCTGGCGGCGCTGATATGAATCACGAGATGATGTGACCGAACATGCAAGACACTGTTCTCGAGTTCGGCGAAGTGACCGAGTTCGCAGTGTCGAGTTCAAGGAACACTTCCCGCACCAGCGTCGACAGAGATGCTAACCAAGTCAAATGTCGCAGTCACCATCGCACTGTTTGGGAACGGAGAGCGGAAGATTTTCAACAATAAATTTCGGCAGATCATGTAAATCCAACAATCCGTTCGGCATGCACCACGTGTTGGTTGACCACAGGGCAAATTTTCTAACATCACGGAAACTTTGCAAGTTCAGAATTCCCAGTGCAGTTGGTACGACTGATCCAAAGCCTTGTACATTTCCTTACTTTTCTGCAATGTATATATGTGATTCTCCATTGTCAACATGAACCTATTTAACCGATGCTCCCTTTCTGACAAGGCGCAAAGAACTATTTAGTATAATGTACTTATTTTCTGAGAAAAAGTACAATATATTAGATATTACAACAAAATAAGTCTACTAATACTAATTCTTAGGCTTAATACATCGGTGAGAACATATGTAAACGAAACTTTGACGGTTAATGCGGTGGCCAAATGCTTGGTAGCAAACCTTCTACAACAAAAGGTCTACAAAAGATCTGATACCTTTTCTTGCAAATGGGTTTTTCGATCGTTACTTCATGGAACAGTACTGGGATCGGGGGCTCCGCGCTCGTCATGGTAGCAGTCGCCGAGCTGCCTGTACGTCGTCTACCATGACGAACAAATTGGTTTTTGTCGTTCCGCGGATACGTCTCCCAAGATTCGCTATTAATCGCTCAAGCCGAGAAGAGAATCCTGTATTCTTCAATACTTGTGACCTTTGGGCTCAAAGAACATGCCAAGCAGGCCTGGTCTGGAAGTCAAAGTACATTGACACTAGCCACCTCTACAGTAGTCTCTGGGAGTGTGCGTACTTAAGAATCTTGACTTCCTAATAGTTTGATTTGAATGTAATGTCAAAGGAACTTTATATGAACATTCCTAAATGACTCGGCACTATTTGATATCATAGAGAAACTGAGCAAAATCATGATTCCATTGGAAGAGCTCGAACTTGCAAGTGAACAAATCACAAAGCTAAATTGAATTAATGTATGATGAAATGAAAGTGAAGACTTTGTAATCTCACTCTTCTAACATCTATTGACACCGCCAAATCAAAAAATATTGCATTGAGTTTATTGATTTCATATATGGACTCCAGCACATATTTGTAATTGCCAAGTCGTATTCAATTGCCAAGTGAGTTGTAAAAGGTGTTGCTTCTAGGAGAGTGATTTAAAATTTTATCATGGACTCTAGCAACGTTAATTGTTATAGCCCAATATAATCTAAAACCTCAAAAAGATGATATAATCTTTTCTTCATTTTCCGATAGCGACTTGCTTTTTTCTCTACTACAGAAGTTTGTCTGTAATGTTAAACGAGTATATATCAACCACTAGAGTTTCACGCTTCTAATCAGATATGAGACAACCACTAGGAGGAGTAACAATGTTTGACCATAAACCAAATGAACGACATGTCATGGGTTGAACCCTATTTTTGTGCAAAAGAAATGCGTACTTAACCGGGAGACTACTTTATCGCGCTTCTTACATCCAAAGGGCCACCCCACGGGAGAGAGCAAAAAAAAATGTGTACATTGCCAAAGGCACGAGACTATAAGGAGAGGTGCTACGCACTTTGTGGCCCCGGGGCCCAACCTAAAAGCAAGCAATCTGCTACAAGCAACCAAAACAATTTTTGGTGAATTGGTCGAAAACTTGAACTACATGAAGTGTTAATGAAAGGTAAAGCCAATAATGACACAAAAACTAGTGCTGAACCCCAGTCATCAAAATCTGGGTTATCAGGAGCGACCGTAAACCCTGAATAAGTTATCATGGACGAGCCACATGCAGGGAAACTTGCACGTGTGGTTCTGACGGGGGGCCGGGGACCGGGGATTGGCTGACAGGGCCCCTGGGGGGGTCCTGCATGCTCCAGCAGCAAACCCTCCCAAGAATTTTACCACGCGCACGATCCGATTAGTTGATGTCGACATATATCCGAATCCTTTCGCTGTATTTTAAGAAAACAGCCGCAAAAGGAGTAACTTGAGGCGCATGTCCGCGCCAAAGAACGTACTTATGAAGGCACAAGATGCTAAAGAAGTGACTTGAGGAAGGCTGCCAAGGCCCTGCTTCTACGGATAGTACCTTCAGTCTTACGAATTTTCTCTTATAGCCGACTCTATATTCTCACCAGACAACGGGCATAATATTTACCACCCCCCCTTTGGCACTCTCCACGAGGCCCAGAGAATTCCTGAACTCACAGCCCGGGTCGAGGTCGGTCCTACGGAAAAGTGACGTGCTCATACGGTTCGGAGAGCACTTGAGTAATCTAATAATGAGGTGAAATTTTTACTCTATCTATTTTTCCAAGTATTATTCTTATGTTTATTGCAATACCTTCGTTCGCCCTTCTTTATTCAATGGACGAGGTAGTAGATCCAGCTATTACTAGCAATTGAGGATGCATCCAGTCATGAGTTTATGAGTCGACTTCCTTCCAGTAGAGGACAACTAACACAGTTCAAGTCCATGGTAACCCAAGCAGAGGAAAATATTTCAAATCCTCCAGTTTCCTCAAGATTCGAACAATCCTGGCTATCGATAGTTTTAGACAAAAGTTATAGTTCTGGTTAAGAATCGATAGTTTTAGACAATGTTATAGTTCTGGTTAAGAAACTGATCTTTCTTGGAGCTCCTAATGCTGCCCTTCTTCTCCCGGGAATTCCAATGCCTCTTCGATTCCTGAGCCTTCCGACAACTCCTCTCCTCATGCTTGAGCTTCCGGCGCAGCCTCTCCCCTCGGAGCTTCCAGCACCTCCTCCTGCGGCTCTCTCCGCGGCTGTGTTATCCACTCATGCTCTGCACATACTCCGGGCGTTGGAATTATTGCACACCAGGGGTCCGGGAGTGTTTGCAGCAGAATTCTCCAGAAACGAAAGTCATGGACATCGCGAAAAGGAGGTTCGGGAATAAAAAACAGCAAGCCGAATCCAGCCGAGTATTTCGCCACCACGAGTTCATTATATTCTCGATTGAAGACGAAGAAGGCATCACGGCTTCCTGCGGCATAAAGGAGAAAAGGTCTGCCTTCTTCCCCTTCCCAGAGTTCTCGAGTTCTTCCATTGCCCGGACCATTGGATGCTGGAGAAATGCTCCACCATAGCTCCTGCGACCGAACGACCCGTTGAGAGGAAACCAATCCAAGGCGAGTAAGCACACATGTCCTTCATACGCAGCAATCTGAAGGGAGCCTGGCTTGTCCTCCTCGGATTTCTCTAACAAGGTCTTCCACTTCTCCTCTTGCAGATCAAATATCAATAGAGCTTTCATGTGGTCCCTACGATTCCATACGAGCCAATACAGACATCCACCACATGCTACTCATTTCCCTCCTTGCCACCCCAGTTCCATATTAGCAGGAAACGGATGAGCAAGCCACGACCATGTGCCGGTCGTCGAGTAGTAAATCAAAGATCTGCGATCATCTGGGAGTAGAACTCCTCCCAAAATCAGCTTGAAGAAGGCCGTGCCGTCAGTAAAAGTATCACAATAGACAATGACATGTTTATTCCAGATTTTGTTCCGTAAATCAGGACCATCAACGATTTCCATCCACTTCTTACAGACTGAACGACATGCTGCAAGTGTGGAAACTGGTAGACCATGATCTCTGAGAACTTTGATCAGAAATTCGATAGGTAAAGTTTCCCATGGATCTCCAGGTCTACTCTCTTTCGTTTCAACTACCACTGCAACAAAACAATTCAGAGGATGATGTATATGACGGTCATCTCTAAAGCATCTGCAACAGCTCAGAAGGGAGCAGCATAGTCACTTGCGAGTTGAGCTGGACTAAAACTCTCACGCAGGTTGACTCAGAAAGTCTCAAATGAGAGAAACCGTGTGCTGTAACTCCTGCGTAGACACATGTTAATCACCTTTCAAGCTTGAGAACGCTTGCTGCAGCAGCAGTCTGGACGAGAGAAGAATGGAAACAATCACGACCAGTCGATGGTCAATTAGAGGTCAGACAACGAGAGAGACTTTACCGACATGCTAGAAATTTTGATGGATCCTTACATCGACGAGTGTGGGAGTGGCAACGAATGATGAAGCTGTGGCTTATCGATCGGTCATCTTACCGTGTCAATTTGGAATCGGTGTCCATTTATCTTTGAATTCAAACCTTCGGTGTAGTTTGAAATAAAAGTATATTGCCTTGAACTCGAACCAACTCTAACGATTTGTGATTCTCTGGAACACTCGAAGTCAATGCGCTGCCCCGGGCTATGTACTCGACTAGACTAGAAGTGAAACTGGCTTCATGGTATAGATTGGAGATAGGCTGCTAACTATGGTGCAGTGGATAGTAGATAAACGATACTGTAGAGTGTAGTACTTGGTTAAGTAGATAAACCGATACAAGAGTGGATATATCAACTACAACTTACCCTGTTCTAAGCACCCATTGGAATGGAATAGTTGGAAGAGCCTGTAGCGCAATAAGAAAATATAGTGACAACGGTTAGCATTCAAATAAAGGCTCGTGAGTAGCAGTTTTTTTAATAAAACTTTGCAGAATGCGGCTGTCGAATCGAGTAGCTACTTCCAATATGTTAAAACATGGAACTTTTAGCATCCTCGTATCATTATTATTTTCTATTCTATCTTGTATTTCTTCTTGTGTCCTCATTTTTTAACATCACATAAAATTTTGATTGTAAATTCTTCAATTTTTTTAAGACAAATTTTCACCTTCTCATGAGATGATTTAAGTGATTCACTTCTTATAACTTCTATTGTAAAAGCATTTTTGATGAATATATTTTCGGAGCCTGTTTCATATGTTTTTATCTCCATATTTTCTCTTGAACTCATTGAATGATTTTAGAAATATTTTTTTCAAAAAATTTGAGTTCTATTTTTCAAAAAATTCGAGTTTTACTTGTCTTTGTACTTTTATTTTTCTGAGAATTATTTTGAACTTTTCCAAAATAATTTCTATTAAAATAAGTTTAAAATTCGAAAAAATCACAATTAGTGGTCTTTTATGAAATTAAATAATATAATTTAATGAATTCTTCAAATAAAAACCTAAGAGCTAATTTTATCCTAATGAATTAAACTTAATCATGACTAAACTACTCTTAGTCAATTGTTTGAGTACATGTATAATGAATGCATCCATACAACTTTGAGTATTTTAGTTTAAGTTGAGTATTTGGAGTGCTAAGTATTCAAGGAATGACTGTGGAAGAGAATTATGCTCTTGAAAATCACGAATGTCAAAAATGTATAACAAATATTCCAAAAGAATTCTCGGATTTATCAAGAGTGCAAGATTTGTGTTGAGTTCACACTATCTACTTTTATCATGCTTTGGTCATTGATAGAACGTGTTAATTGATATAATGAACCAAGTTAGCTTTGCAACCACCTAACTGTGATTACTTGTGCCAGAATATCAATCGTTGTTTATTTAATTAATTTTTCTTGTTCTTGGAAAGTGAAATGCAGAGATGAAACTCAGATTCCGTTAAGTTAGATTGTAAAGTCCATAAGGTTTATTGCTTGTACAAACAGTGTGGGAAACAAAGCCAAAACAATGTTATTTCCTAATTTATTCATATATCAAAGATTATAATCGAATCAGGGAGGAGCTATATGACAAATTGTCATAATCTCTGACCAAAGATGAGAAAAAAAGAGATGATGAATCTTGATAAGAGGAAAAGAAAAACAATCCAAAAGGTCGACCGTCCAACTCAATGCAAATCTGCTTATTTTTTTTCAACTCGTCATCAGATTTGAGCCACAAGAGAACTTTGCTGTCAATATCCTCCACACTAAACCTTCATTTTCATTCCATATCTACAATTTGTTTATTAAATAGTATCTTTATACGTTGAGCTTCCCAAATGAAAAATTTCATTGAATTCCATTTCTCGATCTTATGCAATACAATATTGCATATTTTAACAATCCACTCATGATCGTTCTTGAACGTTGACCAATCTTTTCAAATTATTTTATAACTATGAATATTTTTTTTCAAAAATGTAAGTTTTGATGATCGTGGCCTCAGGTCAGGATTAGTTTGTGTGAAGTGTTGACTAATCAGGGCAACAAAAACTAGTTTTACTCCTTGAGCGTTATACCACTCTTATTCTTGAGTGTTCTCGGGATAACATCTGTTTCAGTTTTTTCCAAGCGTCCCTGTTCTGTTCGTCATTTACTCCAGTTAAACTGTTTACTTTTGAGAGTTTGTTATCAACCGCTATTACCAGGTACCTTTCGGTTAGGTGGGTAATCCGTGGTGGCCTCTTTGACTTCCGTGCAGATACCAACATTGGGTGCCCATGCCTAGGGGTTTTCGGTGTCATTATCATGGATGGGTTTGGATGGGCATAGCTTCTAAATGGGTATGGAACTATGCCCATCAATCCTTATCCAACCGAGGCTTGTTGTAGGTGTGTAATGTACATTACGGAATTTGGTGGTGGACATAGGTACTTGCTGATGGCACAAATTTGAAGTACGGTGTAACTCACTATCGTTGTTTCCTACACACATGAACGGTCGCCCAAAATTCTACTGCAACATTACCGCGAATTCGAAAAGAGCAACTTCAAACACAGGAGCCGTGTAATAACCCACCAAAGGCTAAAACTGCAGTATGGTGGTAAAAAGATCGAACCCACAGGGACAGAGGCAACACACAGAGTAAAAAGTGTCACGTTTAACAGACTTTTGTAGAGTTTGAATTCTCAGGCGACTGTCACTCCCAGAAATACTGCAGTGCTCGACTCGGAGGCTCGACTCGGAGGAGGACGCTCGACTCGGAGGATGCTCGGAGGATGCACGGTACAGCGTAGTCACTCAACACACACACACACACCTGAAACTGGCAAAAGCACAACTCGGAGGTCGGTCAGGACCTCCGCTTCGGATTTCAGGGGGAAAGTGTCTCAAAAGTTCACTCAGAGGTTCTGCAGGTAGTGACTCCCACTCCGGCTTTTACTGCACTTCCGCCAGGAACTAGCGTAGGGAACCCGGACTGGACTTCCCACTTCGGAACGAAGCCTCTTCATACGCCGTGGACGTCACCCTCGACTCACACCAAACGCAGGGAGTACAGGCCCGACTGAGAACTTAACTGAGACACAATCCAGTAACACAGACACACAACCTGAATTGCAAACCAAGGCTTACACGAAGTAATAAAACTTCACTTTGGCATTCAGGAGAAAATTCCCGTAGGAGTACAATCAGGATATGTCACTCGAAGGAGTAAGGGGGAACTGTTCAAGTCTCTAACTCGCAGCCGGCTCTGAGCATCAGAAATCACCCGTAGGTGCAGATCCGCACTACTCAAGTCTCTAACCGGGTATTAGCTCTGAACATTCAGCCGAAGGCCTTCAACTACAACATACGGTAACTTCGCTATGCTGCAGCTTCTCTATGTGGTGCCAGGACCAAAATGCACAAACACGCCAAGAAAGTGAGTTCCTGATCTGCACTTCCGAAACTGGAAGAGTCCCAAGGCAAAACGCCTTGATCTACTTTATACCCTCTAAGGTCCTAACTAACACTACACTATCCTATCTACTACTCGCAACACTTGCACAAAACCAAACTACGCTACTGCACTCTGCAGATCCGGTGCTACGCCTCCTGCGCGCCGGACTGCCTCGCTCTTTATCTCTACCTTGCCAATCTTCCGACCGGCTGCGCAACCCCAGACGCCGGAGGGCTGCTGTCACTTCCGACTCCAAGTGCGCCATAGTGTCGCGCGCACCCGACAAGAAGGATTCTAATTTCCTTGCTACTCGCCGCTGACTCCGACTGTCACCCTCCGTCAATGCCGCCGCCCTAAGCTCGAACTCCCTGAGTGTGATCTTCTCTTGAGCTGCCACCTCCCAATGGGCGTATCCTTTTAGACAGTGAGTCACCCGCGTCGCCAACTCTTCTCGCGTCCGGCAGCTGCCTTCCACCTCTGCTAGCTGCATTTCCGCATCTGCGCGCTGCGCCCTCAAATCCGCGCACTCGGATTGCAAGTTGCGCAACAACTCCTCATCCTCCTTGCGTGTACTTTGATTTTCTTCTAAGGCGCGCTTCTGGCGCGCAAGCTCTTCTGCTAAGATGCGGTTTTGTCTCCGCTCTTCCTGCAATTCCGACTCAATCTTTGCCCGTATTAGCTCGGCATCCGCCTAGTTTTTCGTCGCCGCATCCTCCCTCTGCTGTTGCAAGGTTTGGTATAGCTTCTGTGTGACCGCCATGTGCTGTCGGAGGGTAGCGTTCCCATCTTGCAATGTTTGGCACCTGGAGGCCCAAGTGGCCACCTTGCTCCTCGTCCTGCGCTTGACAGACTCCACGTAAGACTGCGGTTTTCCGGTACCCGAGTACTTGGATGTCTTGCGATCCAGATATCGCAGGAGTGGAACTATCTGCTCGCATAACACCCCTGTTGGCGTTTTCTGCACAGAGTCCGCTTCCTGCTCTTCCGAGCTCGTCTCATCCTCCGTTTCGAGGATTTCGGTCGCCACCGAATCCCTTGGCGACTTCCTGAAACTGTGGCGCGCAGCAGCTTCCGCCGCGACTGCCGCTCCACTCCCTGCTAAAATATCCAAGGCAGTGGGGGATCCCACTGCTTGAGCCCCTGTTCCGGCTCGATCTTCGGTTTCCAAAGGGGTCGACGCCGCAGTGACTTTTGTCACCTTTGCACCGCCCGCTTCTGCTGCCTGCCCTTCCGGCACGATCTGCGCGGAAGGTGTCTTTGCTGGAGGTGCGTCCGCCGAAGGCGTCCGCACACTGGTCGCCGGCCCTGTCCGTCTCGCAGTCGGCGAATCTGGCCGACTCTCTGTTGACCGACTCGCAGTCGGCCGACTAGCAGGTGTCCGACTGGTAGTCAGATACACCCTGCGCGTCTTCACTCCACTTGGCCTGCTTGCTGGCGGCGTTATCCCGGAAGTGCCTTCCGCCGAAGGCGACCCTCTGAGGGTTGTTGGCTCGTGAGCCAAACTTCCTTCTGCTTCCGGCCTGCTGTCCGGTTCAACGCGCCGCTCCGTCGGCCTTCCTTCCGTTTGTCGACCTTCAGTCGCCCGACTCGTAGTCGGCCGACTGTCAGTCCGTCTGTCTTCTTCCGAAGGCATTGGTGCCTTCTGCGCAGAGGTATTTGCCGACTTCCCCAGAATCTGCGCGATTATATCCTCCTGCGTGGGCAGGATACTCCGCCGAACCGGAGTACGCCCGGTCTCCTCAGTACTAGTTGGCATTTTGCGTGCCCTCTGTTTTGGTCGGCTGTGAGGCTCGTTGGTTGGCCGACTACGAGTCGGCGTAGCTGACGCTTCCGGCTGCCTGTCTTCAGGTCTCTCATCCCACTTCCGCTTTCGCGGAACGCGCTCACTTCGACGTTCTTCTGCTGCTCTTGCTGGGGGCGGAGCCGGAGGCGGACTGGCAGGGGCCTCGTCCGGATCCGTGTCTACTTCGGCCTCCCGCGAGTATCTACCTGGATAGCTCCGGGTCAGCAGCGGAAACCGTGTCCGCTCTGAATTTGTCAAACATCCCATCGCCCGATAAAACACAATCAGGTAAGGCGAAAGATGATTGAGGGTTCCTCCTCTCTCCTCTTGCGCATGTTGGCGCGTCACCTTCCACAGGAGCCGTGCCCAATGCACTGGAGCTCCTGACAACACTAGCTCCACAAATCCTACCTGCCAACCATGCATGTAAACGGTCTTGGTCGGCTGCAATATCTGCAGCAATGCAGTCGCGACATTTCTCCGCAATCGATCTTTGTAATCCCGTGTCCGGAAACCGTTCTTGGGATGCCTGGCAACTTTGAAAAGCTCATTGTAGGAGATTTCTTCCTCCTGGGACACCTTCACGCTATCGGCCTCGAAGAGGAGATACCCTTCCTCGCCGGCACACCTGCCCAACACCTGCGCCCAGTCACAAATGTCCCACCTCTCTAGATGTGGACGGAATCCGCGTGAGGGCTTGTGTCTCTCCTGCAGATACTCGCGCACCATCTCCGGACATGTCTAGTTCCATCCCCACAGGAGGAAATCGAGCTTCAGCCCTATCAGCACATCTTGGAATGCGCATAGACCGATCTGCGGCACCCTGAGTGGAGACACTCGCAGCTGGGGGACCTTCGACATTGTGTTTCCTGCACACACAAACGTTCTCCCTTCCGCTCGCTCTCTCACAATCGCCGCTGAGCGTCGGCCGCTCAAGTACTGACTGTTGTCTCTCTCTCTTCTCTCGCGCTCAAGTTCGCTACTCGCAAATTCTCTCCAAGGTCTGTCAAGATCCTTGTGCAACTCGTCTCCGCACTCTCCCCTCTCATTGCAGGTCTCTCCGCCCTTGCGCGAATTCTTGGAAGCTGGAAATCGCAAAATCAAGAATGAGAGAATGAGACTGGAGCGCAGTCTTTTCTTCTCCGAATTCAAGATCGTCCAACGTTCTTACTGGTTACAATTTACGCAGCCGGCTATACGGCCTAACGGTTCGCCCTTGCATGCTCGAATTCACGTCTCCGCACTACGCGCATTCGCATGCGTGAATGTTGAATTCTCCCGCCGCCACCGTCTTCCGGACTCGAGTTCGCCGCAGTGTATACGTCGGCTATGTTGTCTTTTCCTAACCTGACCATCACCGGAGGCGTGTCGCCGCTGGCGTGTTCCTTATCCTTCGGCGCTTTGCTGGAGGCGCACATCCAGTCGGCGCGAATTACGCCGGCGCGTATTCGTACCGCTTGTTTTGTCCGTTCTGCCTTGTCCTTTGCTGACGGCGCACATCCCGCCGGCGCAAATCATGCCAGCGCAAATCATGCCAGCGCATCCGCCTATCAACGCCACGTCGGAGGCGTACATCCCGCCGGCGCGTTTCTTCCGTTTCGCAGCCGCCACAGGCGCTTCCGACTCTGAGTTGATTGCCTCCCATGAGCGCGTGATTCCGCCGAAGGCGCATCGCCGAAGGCGTACGGGAGTCCTTTCCGACTGTGAACCCTAGCGCGAACGGCGCATGTCCGGCTACGAGTTTTCCGATGCTCATAACTTCTTCGTCCCTGATCCATCTCCGACGCTCTTGGGCTCGTTAGGACGAGCGTCCCGAGCTCTTTCCAATGCGACTTCAACCAATTGGAACTACGGTGTATTCCGATCGTTAGGAAGGTTTCCCTTTCCGCGCTAGCGGCGCATCGCCGAAGGCGCACTCATGGTCGGAAGCCTTCAGAGGTCAGTGCCATTCTTCTGACGTCTTTAGCAAAATCTACTCCGGAGGTGTCTGCGCCGGCAGCGTAGCTTCCTTAAACGCCGGAAGCGCGTGAGTAGAGACACCTCAGAAAAGGAGCTTTTCCGAAGGCGCCGAAGACATTGGCGCTGGTACATCCGACTTCGCGATTCTTCGTGACCTCGTGACGATCTCCTCAATCCACTCTATTTAACGTACCCTTTTGTAACTACAAACACTGCTTCGGTACTAGTTTTCTAAAATTGTTTAAATTCTGCAAAAAAAACAAAAAGTGTGTTACCACAAGCCGGCTCGCGTCCTTTCAGGATGAGGTAAATCCCGGAGCTTTTTTCACATGCTGAAGTCTCCGTTGCTGATCGCGGATACATGAAATGCCCTTGAACATCGTGAACTTGTACTTTTATCGCGCACCGGTCGGCCTAGCGTTGAACCAGGCTAGTACCCCTCCCCGTACATAATAATTCCCGCAGCTTATAACGTGCGATGCTCGTACTTTATTAGGAATAATACCCATATTCCTCGGCGTATATCTGACTTCCGTAGAGAAATACGTGCAGCAGGTCAATGCGGCATCTTCAGCCCGTTTCATAGGTTGTTTCGCCGCTGTTGTAAAGTGCGGGCCATGATGCATTGCGAGCCCTTACTAGGAATGTACCTGCTGCAGAGATTTATTCCAATTTTAGTGGTCTTATTTTGCTTCATTTGCTAGAAAGCCTTATTATTTTGATGAATCCCGAATTCAACCGTATATCTGATAAGCTATCCCAGTTTGGACTCCTTTGATTACTTTTTTTAATACTTTTTATTTTTTAAGTACATTTGAGAATGGTACAGTAAAGTTTCAGTTTCTGGAAACTATTTGATGTATTCCTTATTCAGTTATCAACTTTTAGATTGGTATAGATGGTATCTCTTTATTCTTTGTTATCTTGACCACGTTTTCAAAAACCAGCTCCAGATGCGGAGTCGAAAGATTCGCATACGGGCGAAATCCCGTAGTGCTTTCATTCTCGGTTATATCGCCCTCGGGGTAAGGATGTCTTCCTCTGCAGAGGAAAGCCAGAAGATGAACGAGGCATCATATTTTTATCTTTGCCTCCGGATTCAGCAGTAGAAACATTTCTTAGAAGGTCTTATTGACGGTGACGGCTAAATTCAAGGTTCGCGGAAATAAACGAACAATTTGAAAGGCGCAGAATTGCTGTATTGCTTGGGCCTAAAAATCCCGGTCTTTTAAAACTCATTTTCAAAGTGGTACAGCGTTCTCAGATGCGCACTACGTTGAAATTTTTTTTCATCTTCAATGATAATGAAAATTGTTTTTTGGATCAGATATATTATTCACGTTTAAACATATTTGTAGTAGCTACTCGATTTGACAGCAGCATTCTGCAAGGTTTTATTCCAAAAACTACTACTCATGAGCCTCAATTTCAATGATAACCGTTGTCCCTATACTTTCTAACTGCGCTACTGTCTCTACCAACTATTCCAGTCCAATTGGTGTTTACGATACGTTGTAGTTGATAAATCCACTCTTGTATCGGTTTATCTCCTTAACCGAGGACCTTGGTACATTTATTACGATAGCTATCTTGCATATACATATCTCATGAAAACATGATTTTCTTACACATCACACATGAAACATACAGATCTCATACAATTAAATCTAAGTTAACTTTACTCGAATACAATGGTATTTTACGCCTGGCAGATCTTGCACACCTAATTACCCTTTTAGTCCATGTCCATAACATGATACAATTTCTAGTGCTAACTTAAGATGTCGTTTGCTATTATGCACCATACTTAGTTGCCTATCTCCAATGTATACCATGAGACCAGTTTCACTGCTAGTATAGTCGAGTACATAGCCCGGGGCAGCGCATTAAGTTCAAGTGTTAAAGAAAATCAGAAATATACCAAGTTCCTTGGTTACGTAGATAAACCGATACAAGAATGCATAAATCAACTACAACTTATCGTGCTCTAAGCACAAAGTTGAATGGTTCGAGTTCCAAGCAATATACTTTTATTTCAAACTATGCCGAAGATTTGAATTCAAAGATTAACGAACACCGAATCCAAATTGACACGGTGAGATGACCGATCGATAAGCCACAGCTTCATCATTCGTTCCCACTCCCACACGGGTCAATGTTACGGTCAGGGAGATCAGAATTCGTAACATGCCGGTAATTTCTCTCTCGTTGTCTAAGCTCTTCATGACCATAACTGGTCGTTACTGTTTCCATTCCTCTCTCGTCCAGAGTGCTGCAGCCAGCGAATCAAGCTTGAAAGGTGATTCACAAGTGTCTACGCAGGAGTTACAGCACACGGTTTTTCTCATTTGAGACTTTCTGAGTTTTCGTCCAGATCAACTCGCAAGTGACTGACTGCTAATGCCTTCTGAGTTGTTGCAGATTGCCGATGCAGAGATGACCGTCATCTACATCATCCTTTAAGATCGTTGTTGCAATGGTACTCGAAACGGAAGACAGTCGACCTGGAGATCCATGGGAAACTTTACCTATCGAATTTCTGATCAAAGTTCTCAGAGATCATGGTCTGTCAGTTTCCACACTTGCAGCTTGTCGTTCAGTCTGTAAAAAGTGGATGGAAATCGTTGATGGTCCTGATTTACAGAACAAAATCTGGAATAAACAAGTTATTGTCTATTGTGATCCTCTTACTGACGGCACGGCCTTCTTTTGCTGCAGTGATCAATGGATCACAAGGAATATTACTTTTGAATCCAAGAGGCTAATCGCTGCTGATGGAGGTCTCCTGTGTTTTAATAAACGTTTGTCAACAGAATTTGTTCTGTATAACCCAGTTCCGGATAAATTCCTGACCCTGATTGTACCTCATGAAATTGATGCAATACCTGCGGTCATTGATGGGAAGGTCAAATTTATGGTGGTGGGCTTAGTCGTGGACCGATCTGCAAAGCACTTCAAGCTGCTTTTGGGAGGAGTTCTACTGCCAGATGATCGCAGATCTTTGATTTACGACTCGACGACCGGCACATGGTCGTGGCTTGCTCATCCGTTTCCTGTTAACGTGGAACTGGGGTGGCAAGGAGGGAAATGTGTATCATGTGGTGGATGTTTGTATTGGCTCCAATGGGATTCTACATATCTGACGAAGGCTCTCTTGATATTTGATCTGCGAGAGGAGAAGTGGACTGCCATTTTAGAGAAAGTCGAGGAGGACAGGCCAGGCTCCATTCAGATTGCTGCGTATGAAGAACATGTGTGCTTACTTCCTTCCTTCGACGGGATGTTCGATATCAGGAGCTATGAAGACGCATTTCTCCGGCATCCAATGGTCCGGGCAATGGATGGAGCTCTGATTGAAAGAACTCGAGAATTATGGGAAGGAGAAGAAGGCAAACCTTTCCACCTTTATGCCGCAGGAGGCAGTGATGCCTTCTTTGTCTTCGATCAAGAATATAAAGAACTCGTTGTGGCGAAATACTCGGCTCGATTCTGCTCGCTGTTTTCTCTTCCCGACCCTCCTTTTCGCGAAATCCATGACTTTGGTTTCTGGAGACTTCTGCCGCAAACCCTCCAGGAACCATGGTGTGCAATAATTCCAACTCCCGGAGTAAGTGCAGAGCATGAGTGGATAACACAGCCGCATAGAGAGCCGCAGGAGGAGGTGCTGGAAGCTCCGAGAGAAGAGGCTGCGCCGAAAGCTAAAGCAGGAGGAGAGGAGGTGCAGGAAGGCTCAGGAAACGAAGAGGCATTGGAATTCCCGGGAGAAGAGGGGCAGCATTAGGAGCTCCAAGAAAGATCAGTTTCTTAACCAGAACTATAACATTGTCTAAAACCATCGATAGCCAGGATCGTTCGAATCTTGAGGAAACTGGAGGCTTTGAAGAGATTTTCCTCTGCTTGCGTTATCGTGTTCTTGAACTGCGTTAGTAGTCCTCTACTCGAAGGAACTTGACTCATATGAAGCAAACATGTCTTTCCGATGTTCTCTTTGTGACAAGGCATGTCTGCCATATCGTCATGTTATCATCAGTATGGAAGTAATGACGATAATACACTTGGGTACAAATATAAGTCTTGTAGACGGTAGTCAGTTCTATGCTCGATAGATATATTTGGCATACAACATATTTTGTCCGTCTCATTATTACTAAAAGTTTATTCCTAGTTGATAAACTCATACAATTTTAAGAATTTTGGAAATTTTAAATTTTTTTTTGGTCACTTAGACAATATCTCGAATTACTTTTCACAACAAATATTTAATTACTTTATCAAAACAATCAAAAATATATAAAGAAATTTTTATGGTTCTAAAATTTAGACTTTAAAATGACAAGAAATATAAACGTACACACATAATTCATCAAACATTAAAGTAAAAGTTAAATTTTATAAAAATATAATATTTATTTAATTAATTAAGGTTCAATTTTTGGCTAAATTCATAATAAAGAATAATGCAATACATTTTAATCACTAACACAAAACAGTTAATTTTCACTACAGGGAACTCAGAATCTCGAGCAAGGGCGTGACCATAACCTCCTCGGTTATTGTCTGGGTGAATACAACAGTGCGGATATTTAACCTCCGAAGGCTCATTAATGAATCGCAGCATCTGAAGTGTCGTAATGGACAAGCGGGGCGGTATTGCTTCCTACTCTTATATATAAGAGACCCCCGCATCCGGAACATCGGATATAGGCCTGAGGGAAAGTAATGTGATGTCCTTTCCCGCTCTTTCAACGCGCCTCGGGCGTAGAGCGGGAGCCTTACGGCCCCTTTCGGATAAATGGAACCCGGAACTCGGGAACCCTGAAGACCCCTGAGGTTATACGCGCCAAAAAAATCTTTTTTTTCCCGGCTGTCGGGATATGCTGAATTGTCCCTGCATCCGTAGACGAAAAAAAAGGTAAAAGCTTCAACAGGAAGATGAGAGACTTGGATTGGCAGTTGATAGATTTATTGCTCAAGTTTAGATTTTATGTACTCTCTTTATGTAACTTTTTAAGATTTTGCTCCTACTTAATGATGAATTTTTTTATAACTAAAGAACTAAGTTAATCACTGTGTAAGTTAGAAATTCAACTATACATTTTATGTTGCATAATTTATAATATATTGAATTAGTAAGACCACAAAAAAATTATTTCACTATATTTAATGAAATAAATATTCTAACCATAAAAGTAGTTTTATCATTTTATAATTATCATTTCAATTTATTGTCAATTTTGATGATTTTAATTTAGATAATGTTTTTGGATTTCACTTTGAATCAAATTTCAAGTTTAAAATTGTTCAACAAAAATTTTAATAGCATCGCTCATAACATTAATTTCAACTTTTCTATCTTATATTTTTTCTTGTTTTCATCATTTTTTATCACCACATAGAAATTTGAGTGTAAATTCTCCAACTTTTTGTTATAAATTTTCACCTTGTCATATTTTATTGCTTCAATAAGAACATTTACTTGTTTTACTTTTTATATTTTCTTTTCCAAAAACATTGTCAATGAACCTCTTTTGAACCGTGTTTCATATGTTTTCCTGTCGCATACTTCTTCTTGTATTCATTGAATGATTTTAGTGCCAATTCTTCCAAAAATTTGACAATTTATAAATCAACTAATCAAATTTTACTTATTTTAAAAATAATAATTTAGGTGAGTTGTGAGCCGAAACTCTCCACCCTTCAGCGTTTGTAGTCCAGGTGGGGGTTTGAGCTTCCATAATCTAACTTCTCTGATCTCAACCATGTAGTCAAAGTGTATTCAAGACAATGAGATCATAAACACTTGCTCTTTCACAGAACAATTATCCAGAACTGAAAATAATAACTTGCTGTATGCTATTTCCACAAGAGCAGCAGACAAGCTCTTTGTTACATAAAGATCTAACCCAACTCTGGGTGACTTCCTCAATACCATAGCCGCTGTGGTCTATCCTAGCTCCGAGTCCCACTCCCAATTCCTACTTAGATTTCAGTGTCGATTTCTCTGCTTCCACCTTCATACCCCAACAGATGCCTCTCTCCGATTCAACTCTCCCTTTTCAGTTTCAAATTCAGATCCGACTGTAAGATCTAAGTCTCAGATTTCATTTCACTGTCAGCTCCCATTCTCAGATCTTCCACTCTAATTTCAGCTCCCACTCACAGATTTTACACTTCAACCTCAGATCCCACTCACAGATTTCGCATTTCAATCTCAGCTCCCACTCACAAATTTCGCACTTCAATCTCAGATCCCACTCACAGATTTCGCACCTCAATCTCAGCTCCCACTCACAAATTTTGCACCTCAATCTCAGCTCCAACTCACAGATTTTGCACCTCAATCTCAGATCCCACTCACAGATTTCGCACCTCAATCTCAGCTCCAACTCACAGATTTCGCACCTCAATCTCAGCTCCAACTCACAGATTTCGCACCTCAATCTCAGCTCCAACTCACAGATTTCGCACCTCAATCTCAGCTCCAACTCACAGATTTCGCACCTCAATCTCTGTAGTAACACACTTTTTTGTTTTTTTCGCAGAATTTAAACAAGTTTGAAAAAGAAGTACCGAAGCAGTGTCTGTAGTTAGGAAATGGTACGTTAAATAGAGGAAATTGAGGAGATCGCGGGTCACGAAGAATCACGGAGTTAGGCGTAATGGCGCCAAACGCCTTCGGCGCCTTCGGCGCCTTCGGCAAGATCTCCTTTGCTGAGGTGTCTTTACCCACGCGCCTCCAGCGCTTAGGGAAGGCACGCTTCCGGCGCAGACACCTCCGAAGGAGATGTCACTGAAGACGTCAGAAGCCGGCAAGGACCTCTGAATGCTGCCGACCAGGAGTGCGCCTTCGGCGATGCGCCGTTAACGCGGGAGAGAAACCTTCATAACGATCAGGATTCACGGTAGTTCTATTTGGTTAAGGTCTCATTGGAAAGAGCTTGGGACGCTCGTTCTAACGAGCCCAAGAGCGCCGGAGATGGATCAGGGACGAAGAAGTTATGAGCATCGGTAAACTCGCATCCGGCGATGCGCTGTTCCCGCTAGGGTTCACCTTCGGGAAGGACCCCCGTACGCCTTCGGCGATGCGCCTTCGGCGGAACCACGCGCTCATGAGAGGAGATCAAGTCGGAGGCGGAATGTCGGCTCCTTATGTAATAACCCACCAAAGGCTAAAACTGCAGTATGGTGGTAAAAAGATCGAAACTACAGGGACAGAGGCAACACACAGAGTAAAAATGTCACGTTTTAACAGACTTTTGTAGAGTTTGAATTCTAGGCGACTGTCACTCCCAGAAATACTGCAGTGCTCGACTCGGAGGCTCGACTCGGAGGAGGATCTCGACTCGGAGGATGCTCGGAGGATGCACGGTACAGCGTGGTCACTCAACACACACACACACACACACACACACACACCTGAAACTGGCAAAAAGCACAACTCGGAGGTCGATCAGGACCTCCGCTTCGGATTTCAGGAGGAAAGTGTCTCAAAAGTTCACTCAGAGGCTCTGCAGGTAGTGCCTCCCACTCCGGCTTTTACTGCCCTTCCGCCAGGAACTAGCGTAGGGTACCCGGACTGGACTTCCCACTTCGGAACGAAGCCTCTTCATACGCCGTGGACGTCACCCTCGACTATCACACCAAACGCAGGGAGTGCAGACCCGACTGAGAACTTAACTGAGACACGATCCAGTAACACACACACAACCTGAATTACAAACCAAGGTTTACACGAAGTAATAAAACTTCACATTGGCATTCAGGGGAAACTTCCCGTAGGAGTACAATCAGGATATGTCACTCGAAGGAGTAAGGGGGAACTGTTCAAGTATCTAACTCGCAGCCGGCTCTGAGCATCAGAAATTACCCGCAGGTGCAGATCCGCACTACTCAAGTCTCTAACCGGGTACTAGCTCTGAACATTCAGCCGAAGGCCTTCAACTACAACATACGGTAACTTCGCTATGCTGCAGCTTCTCTACGTGGTGCCAGGACCAAAATGCACAAACACGCCAAGAAAGTGAGTTCCTGATCTGCACTTCCGAAACTGGAAGAGTCCCAAGGCAAAACGCCTTGATCTACTTTAAACCCACAAAGATCATAACTAGCACTACGCTATCCTATCTACTACTCGCAGCATCTGCGCGAAACCAAACTATTCTACTGCACTCGGCTGATCCGGTGCTGCGCCTCCTGCGCGCCGGACTGCTCCGCTCGCTGTCTCTACCTTGCCAGTCTTCCGACCGGCTGCGCAACCCCAGGCGTCGGAGCGCTGTAGTGACTTCCGACTCTAAGTGCGCCATAGTGTCGCGCGCACCCGACAAGAAGGTTTCTAATTTCCTCGCCACTCGCCGCCGACTCCGACTGTCAACCTCCGTCAATGCCGCCGCCCGAAGCTCGAACTCCCTGAGTGTGATCCTCTCTTGAGCTGCCACCTCCCAATGGGCGTATCCTTTTAGACAACGAGTCACCCGTGTCGCCAACTCTCCTCGCGCCCTGCAGCTGCTCTCCACCTCTGCTAGCTGCATTTCTGCTTCCGCACGTTGTGCCCTCAAATCCGAGCACTCGGATTGCAAGTTGCGCAACAACTCCTCATCCTCCTTGCGGGCTCTTTGACTTTCTTCTAAGGCGCGCGTCTGGCGCGCAAGCTCGGCTGCTAGGACGTGGTTTTGTCTCCGCTCTTCCTGTAATTCCGACTCGATCTTTGCCCGCATTAGCTCGGCATCCGCCTGACTTTTCGTCGCCGCATCCTCCCTCTGCTGCTGCAAGGCTTTGTATAAGTTCTGTGTGACCGCCAGGTGTTGTCGGAGGGCGGTGTTCCTATCCACATATACTTGGCACCTAGAGGCCCACCTTGCCACCTTGCTCCTTGTCCTTCGCCTGATAGTCTCCACATAAGACTGCGGTTTTCCAGTACCCGCGTACTTGGATGTCTTGCGATCCAGATATCGTAGGAGTGGAACTATCTGTTCGCACAACATCCCTGTTGGCGTTTTCTGCACCGAATCCGCTTCCTGCTCTTCCGAGCTCGTCTCATCCTCAGTCTCGAGGATTTCAGTCGCCACCGAATCCCTTGGCGACTC